TGCATGAGAGAACCTTAGCTATAAGCTGAACCTACAAACAGAAGAATTTGGACAGGTGAAGAGGTCAAAGGTTATCTGGAACCAACAGTGCTGAATGAGATCAGGATAGAAGAAAAAACAAAACAAAAATATTGTTTCTTTCAGGTACATTATGTTCAGTCATGATTCTTTTAGTAGGCAAAATATAGGCTTTAATGAAGGGCAAGTTTATTTTTATTTTCTGTTCTGGTGCCTACCATTATAAAGTTATGAGTGGGAAGTCTTATTTTGAGATCCAAAGGGGAAACCCACCACATTTACCCTCCTTGTTTCCTATTAACGGTTTAGTTTGTAAATGGTCATATTGTGAGAGGGCAGGCTTCCTCCAATGAGTTCCTGTTCATAGCCGTAGGCCACCCTGTGTCTTTCTAGAGAAACTACACTACCCTTTCTGGTTGTGGTCATGTTTGCTGGGTACACCCTTTATTTTATGTAGATCAATACAAATGACCTCTCCTTCACTTACTAGTTAAGGGAACTAGCTTATTGAAAAGCTGTTCTACTTATTGATGGGTTTCCATTAATCTGTATGAAAATGTGTTCCCATGGATTTTACATACTCTCCAAGTAATAAGATTAGATCATTTTTTTGATTGTTTTAATCCTCACCCAAGGATATTTCTCCATTGACTTTTAGAGAGAGGGAAAAACAGAGAGAAACATCGATGTGAGAGAAATACATCGATTGGTTGCTTCCTACACACACCCTGACCAGGGCCCAGGCTAGGGAGGAGCCTGCAACCAAGGTTTGTGCCTTGACCGGAATTGTACCCAGGACCCTTCAGTCCCCAGCTGATGCTCTATCCACTGAGCCAAACCATCTAGGGCAAGATTAGATCCTTTATATATTGATTGTTACATATAAGCATGTACTGGATTATTTTATTTTCACAGTAGTCCAGTAGCCCTCTGAGGTAGAGATTACCACTGTTTTCCATTTTACAGATGAGAAAACCAAGGCATAGATATTGAGAGTGAAATTTTATTTTTCAAGTTTTTTGTTTTGTTTTTCCCCCACTATTTGGGAATGTTGATATTCAGGTGTGAAGTATGTGAAAGGCAGAGAACCATAGCAGAAAGCCAACAGAGTTACTATAGGGCAGCCGTGGGCAAACTACAGCCCGCGGGCCGGATCCGGCCCCTTTGAAATGAATAAAACTAAAAAAAGAAAAGACCATACCCTTTTATGTAATGATGTTTACTTTGAATTTATATTAGTTCACACAAACACTCCATCCATGCTTTTGTTCCGGCCCTCCGGTCCAGTTTAAGAACCCATTGTGGCCCTCGAGTCAAAAAGTTTGCCCACCCCTGCTATAGGGTATATCATGATCGGTGTTACCCTAAGGCCTGCTGACTAAATATCCAGCCAAGGAGTGTAACAGTTCTGCGAAGGGAAGTTTCTGATAATATGTTGATCAGTTATTTTTCTGCTAAATAAATTCTTCCACTCCAGTTCCAGTACATTAAACAAATAGTAACCAAATGTAGTGAGGCATATATATATATGAAATCTGGTAGTGAAGGTAGATAAAAGATATCCATGAGTAATATTATCTGGTTATTTGAATTTCTTAGCCAAACAGATTTTTTAAAACAACTAAGCTGCTACCAAGAAGGTGACTGATTTAATTGCTCTTCCACTTTGGTAAAAATGCCAATTTTCATAGTCAATGGAAAGAAAATGGAGAAACAGAGGGCATGCTTGATATATATGCATGACTTACCCCTAAATAACTAGGAGATGACCCTATGGAATTAGCTGACTCTTTGGCTCCATGAAGTCCCTCAAAATATTGTTCTAAGGGTAAAATCAAATAACATGTCAAAGTACAGGACTTTGAGAACTGAAAACCATTGGACACATGCAAGTTATTAAAAAGAAGGTCCTTTCTTGACATTTGTATCTCTATTGGATTCTTTGCATTCTTTTTGTCCTCTCCCTCCATCCCTCCTTTTCCCCTTCACCTCCACCTCCTTTCCTGTCCTCCTACTGATGAGGACACTGCTTGGAACAGTGGAGTTGGGCTAAAGCAGCCATATTTCTCATTGTTTGCAGAGACGGTTATATTACAATTTTCCTTTCATTACTCCTTTTCCTCCTCCCTTTGTATCCTTGGAGGAATTTTAAAACAATCTCTGGGTTTTCTAATTTGTTTCACTCAAACTTGCTCTCCTTAACTTTGCAAGATAAATTCTTCATCCTGTTCTCCCCTTATTTCTCTTCTCTGAAACTTGGCGGCGTTTTAAAAGGCAGATGTCAGTAGTGACCAGGGCAAGGGTCATTGTCTGGTTCTTTGCCTTTTGCATAGTAAATTCTCACAAAATATGTTCATTAACTAGCTAGAAAAGAAACAGGTGAGTTATAGATTAATTTTTCTCCTTCATTATTTAAAAAAATAAAGTGTTGATGTGTCCTGAATTTGGAAACTTTATTCAAGTACACAGGATTATATGGCACCAACTGTTTGTCTTAACTACAGTATGGGGCAAAAGCAGGTTTACAGTTGTTCATATGGAAAATGATGCAGTAATCCTATCTAATAAAAGAGAAACACGGTAATTAGCCATATGTCCGCTACCCTTCCCATTGGCTAATCAGGGCAATATGCAAATTAACTGCCAGCCAAGATGGCGGCCAGCAGCCAGGCAGCTTGAAGTTAACATGCGGCTTGCTTGCTTCAGTGACGGAGGACTCCAAAGTTCCCCGCCTGCCGCTGCCGGCCTCTGAGCTTGCAGTTTGAAACATTGTTACAAATATAGAAGCTAAACAAAACCCCAGAAACCTCCTTTCAGCCAGCTGGGATCTCAGAGCTGGAGTTGATACAGTGATTCGATTACAGAACCCAAACAAACCAGATACCTGCTTTCAGCAGCAGAGGCCTCAGAGCTGGAGCCAGAGCTAAAGCTGGCCCAGAATAAAAAAAAAAGAAAAAAAGGAGCAGTTGGGAGCTTTAGTCACCCGCCAGCCTGAAAACAGCCCTCAGCCCCTCATCCAGACTGGCCAGGCACCCCAGTGGGGACCCCCACCCTGATCTAGGACACCCTTCAGGGCAAACCAGCCAGCTCCCACCCATGTACCAGGCCTCTATCCTATATAGTAAAAGGGTAATATGCCTCCCAGCACCGGGATCAGCGGAGCCACAAGGCCTCCCGGCACCGGGATCAGCGTGACAGGGGGCAGCGCCCAAACCCCGATCGCCCTGCAGCTCTGTGTGTGACAGGAGGTGGGGCCAAAACCTCCCTATCTGCCCTGCTCTGTTTGTGACAGGGGAAGGCACCCCCAACCCCCTGATCAGCCCTGCTCTGTGCCTGATAGTGGGGAGCTCCCCAACCCCCTGATTGCCCTGTGGCTCTGTGTGTGACAGGGTGCAGCACCCCAACCCCCTGATCGGCCCTGCTGTGTGTGTGACAGGGTGCGGCGCCCCACCCCCCCACCCCCACAGGCCCTGCTCTGTGTGTGACACGGTAGAGCCATAATCTCCCCATCGGCCCTGCCCTGAGTGTGACAGTGGCAGCGCCTCAACCCCCTAATCGACCCTGCTCTGTGGGTGATAGAGGGTGGCGCCCCAACCCCCCCCCCACGGGCCCTGCTCTGTGTTTGATGGGGTAGAGCCATAACCTCCCCATTGGCCCTGCCCTGAGTGTGACAGGGTGCGGTGCCCCAACTCCCTGATCTGCCCTGCTCTGTGTGTGACAGGGGGCGGTGCCCCAACTCCCCTATCGGCCCTACTCTGTGAGTGACAGGGGGGAGCTCCTCAACCCCCTGATGGGCCCTGCTCTGTGTGTGACAGGGTACGGAGCCCCAACCCCCCTGATGGGCCCTGCTCTGTGCGTGACAGGGAGCAGCGCCCCAACCCCCTGATTGGCCCTGCTCTGTGCATGACAGGGGGTGGCGCCGCAACCTCCCCATTGACCCTGCCTTGAGTGTGACAGGGGGCGGTGCCTCAACCCCCCAATTGACCCTACCCTGAGCATGACTGAGGGTGGCATCGCAACCTCCCGATCCGCCCTGCTCTGTGCATGACAGGGGGCGGCGCCCCAAGTCCCCAATCGGCCCTGCTCTGAGCCCAACCAGGGGCTGCACCTAGGGATTAGGCCTGCCCTCTGCCACCCGGGAGCAGGCCTAAGCCAGCAGGTCGTTATCTCCCGACGGGTCCCAGACTGCGAGAGGGCACAGGCCGGGCTGAGGGACCCCCCCCCCCCCCCGAGTGCACAAATTTTTGTGCACCGGGCCTCTAGTCTATACTAATAAAAGGGAATTATGCTAATTAGACCGTGCATCTTCCAGACGTCCTTTTGGACAAAGCCACGGTGGTGGGGGCCGAGGCAAGAGGTGGTTAGGGGTGATCAGACAGGCAGGCAGGTGAATGGTTAGGAGCCAGCGGTCCCGGATTGCAAGTGAGATGTCCAACTGCCGGACATACCCTGAGGGCATCCCAGATTGGAGAGGGTGCAGGCTGGGCTGAGGGACCGCCCCCCCCATGCACAAATTTTGTGCACTGGGCCTCTAGTTAATAATAATACAGGAATAAAATAAACTTGTTTCACATTCTCACAACTGTAAACCTACTTTTGCTATTAAACCACCCCTGTATTGCTGTTTCTCCTGCTAATACAACAGGCAGAATATAAAGCTGCTATGAGGCAAAGGAGAAGTGTTTATTTTGAAATATCAAAATTATTTTTACTCTTTAGGCATTACATGAGTTTATCTCTGTTTTGTCACTTAAGAGAAATGGTGCATGTGAGGAAATAACTCTGAAGTGGAACCATCCAAAAGGAGTATTAAATTCCTAAATGCCATCAGAGCACACCTCAGGTGACATTCACTTTGAGAGCCTACATGACTCGTTTGTGTTCAGCTGTGTTTATTTGCTTCCATGTGAGTGCTGATCTGAGGGAAACCATTCCCTGATATGTTAAGGTGATTAATGTTTTCTCCTTCCCTATTTTTACAGGAAATGGCGAAAGTCCTTAATCACCCCCGTGTGTATGCTTTCCTGCACATACCGGTGCAGTCCGCCTCGGACGCCGTGCTCATGGCAATGAAGAGAGAATACTGCGTGGCTGACTTCAGGAGAGTGGTGGATTTTCTGAAAGAGAAGTAAGTTTCTTAGCACTTAAGAAAATGATCATTTCTTTTTTTTTCTTTTAAAAGCATGTGGCAAAATGCACTTATTGTAGCCACAATTAAAGGTGAGACTTCTGAAGCTTTCAGAGCCTTTGCATCCTTAGGCACCTTGATGTGGTTTTTTGCTTTCTCTCCACCTTCCATCTGTACATCATACAATGTTAATTTGTGTAGGATTGCTAGTGCTTCCAAGGCAATGTGTATTGTGATCATTTTTATACCTGACCCACTAGAGGAAAACTGCTTTATGCTTTGCTCTACTTAAAATCTCCTTTCATGTGGCTTTTTGAATTTGCAGGCTGGTTTTGACATGGAGGTAGGCCACATCATGTCACTACACAATCAATAATTTTCTACTAAGTAGCATTTCTTGAAGAGTCTCTGGAACGCCTTTGCTTTTACATGCTAGCCCTGTGCTTTACTTGAAGAATTGTGAATTTATAAGGAGGTTTGGGGATTCTATTTTTTTAAAGTTCAAATTGTTGTTGACCAAAATTAAGGCATTTTACACAATCTCAGGCATGAATGATCATTTTGTTTCCACCAAAACACTTGCAGTCCATGATTATATTCTTCAAAACTCCTCATCATCATCACCAACATTGAATGCCTTCTGTGATTGTACAAGGAAACAGCAGTGCCAGCCAAGGTCACAGAACTTTCTCAAGTGGAGGGCATTATTCTCCCTCTGGGGATATGTCATTTATCTGGCATATTTGTGGCATGCATCTTCCTACTTTCCATAATTTTCTTCATATTTCTTTCTTCTGTTGTTTTTCTTAATTAAGACAACTTTTATTTCCATCTTCTTGTTTATAATTATCTACCTTTGTACCATGTATTTTATGGTTACGATGGTTTTATATAAATTGCAAGCAATTATTTTTTCCATCGTCCATTAGTCACTTATCCTGACTACATACAGATCTTTTAAAATCTTTTGCTTCTGTTTTCTTTCTCCTTCCTTCCTCACCTTTCCTTTATGTGTCTGTCTAATATTTTTAGCCTCAAATCATTTGTTGATTATTCTAACCACCTGAAATAAAGACATTTAGTGTACATTCAGACAAATACAGCTAATTGTTTGAATATTCAAGCCAGTGAGTAGAAGGTATATATATTCTAGGATTCCAGAATAATGATCACTAAGTATATACAACCTCCAAAGTTAGAATATGGAAGAATGACTGATCTCTATCACCTCTCATACTTTCTGATCTTGAAAAGAACTGAGGTCAAGGCTAAAGAATAGGATTTTTATATTAGATCTGTCTGTTGTTGGCCTGTATCTCATTTTTACATTTATTCTTGCTTATTGTAGGTAAACTTGTCTCATGTAAGAGTCCTTTTGGGCACAACAGCAGCAGTGAATAGAATGTTTTCAAAATTGAAAAAAAAATCCTTGCACCTGTGACATTTCTTTTTTTTTTCTTCTTTTTTTAAAATATATTTTATTGATTTTTTACAGAGAAGAAGGGAGAGGGATAGAGAGTTAGAAACATTGATGAGAGAGATTGATCAACTGCCTCCTGCACGTCCCCCACTGGGGATGTGCCCGCAACCAGGGTACATGCCCTTGACCGGAATCGAACCCGGGATCCTTGAGTCCACAGGCCGACGCTCTATCCACTGAGCCAAACTGGTTCGGTGTGTGACATTTCTTGCCTCTTGCTTACCAGAGCAGTAGTAAATAATGTGCACAATTCATACCTGTTGCACAAGGTTTTGCCAAGTGCAGACATGCATCTGTTGTGCAGAATAGACTAGAACACTTTCCAAATGGTTTATTGTATTCATATGATTCAGTGAGGTTAAGGAATCAGCACCTCTCTTTACTTCCATTTGGGTGAGTGCTGACTCAGTTTGGGGAACTACTGTGGCTACTTCACTGGGCAACAATTTCACAACAAGTTCTAGCCTTTTATGTTGCTCCAAAGATGGACCTGTTAAATTTGTTGCATCTTGAACAGTTTCAATAGCATCCATGAGCTATATAGAGGTCAATGATGATCACGTCAAAGTATTAGAAAATAGTTTTATTCATGGGCTAAGCTCATAGTCCTTTCTTTGGATTCCAAGTTACCCTGAGGCATCCATGGAGCTTTCCTTGAACCATTTCAACTGGCTGGAAGAGCCTAGAACCAAGTACTCCACTTAGGCATCTCCAGTGTTTCCAGCGCTAACGATCCCAGGAGAGGATATTGGAGATGCCTAGAGAAGACACCCATCCCACACCCATTGATCCACGGTTTCAGTTTCAAGTGCTGTGAATCACTGGAATTGTAGAGTATGGTCTAACCACTTAACATCCCCAAGAGGGCTTTTTTTTTTTTCTTTCAACTCTGTATTATGTATGTGCAGTGAGGGCAGAAGCAATCATGGTATACAATTTCACACTTAGTTGTAATTTTATAATCTATAAGATGTATTGAAAGACTGTAGCATGCAGCCAATAAAATGTATCTGATATAGAGAGCTGATGACAGAATAATTACTAGGACCCTTTGGGAAAAAAAATAAGAAATCATATTATCACTACCAATATGCTAATCCTTGACTAGTTTTATACAGTTCATCAGCCATAAAACTGTATATTCAGTTCAGTCCACCCCGTTGTTGCTTGTGACATACCCTCACTCCTGTGAGAACACTATCATCCAGCTTTGCTTGCTAGTGAAAGAGCTTCCCTGTCTTCTCAAGGAAGTGAACCCACCCAGGGAATAATTTTCAACTAGAATGGACATTTAGAAATAAATTGCATATTTTAAACAGACCTCTGGTCTAATATTCCACTTATTTCTTTCTGTAAGAATACTACAGCTTTATGCCAAACAGATTAGTGCTTATTGGAAACACCAGAGTTTCAGCAGTTCTATAGAACCACTAGTTGGGATAACAGATCCAGCACAAAAATTGTTTTGTCCAGTTTATTGAAATTCAGTAAAGTATTGTCCTCCTTAGAAAAGGGTCTAGCACTCTCATGTCGCCCTGTTTTATGCTTAACACTGTGCCCTGCAGTGGGCCTGGCCTACAGCCAGGTGAGGGGTGCTCTCCCTCCTGGTTTTCAGCTCCTGTATAAATGGCGCTCAACCTCTTTCCTCCTCAGAAGTCTTTCAAGCCTTTTTTTGTGATAAGCCCTTATTTTTTCCCAGCAGTGTGAGGCTTCTTAAATATTCATGTTATGAATTAAGGACCAAGTATTTTCTAATCTGTTTCCTCAAAAAATCCAGTCTTAAAAAAAACCTATAGCACTTAAGACTAAAATCCAAACTATGGGAGTTTCCCTGAAGCCACGGGCTCATAAACGCTAATTCAGCAGCATGCCTGGTGCCATGTTTCTCAAACAGTGGAGGTGAAATCTTTTTAATTAATTTTCTTTATAGTTGAAATTGGCCTGAGTTATTACTGGGAGCAATATAAGTTTACATACGAGCCAACTTGAAGCTGATTCATTATTCCCTTCATTTGTTTGAAAGTTGGCAACTGTTATCATAACAGCAGCTGGATTGGAGATAACCTAGCAGAGCTGGCACATGTTGAGGCCTATGGGAGTTTATTAAATCGTGCAACCTTTGCAAAGAAAAGTGTCTAAATTACTTAATACACTAATTTAAGACAGCAGTCCAGAGCAGACAATCATATGACTTAAATTATTCTTTTCAGATTCATTAATCCAGTCAGAAAATTAACTAAGAAATTTGCTGTTTTTATTTAAGTGGATAAGATGATTTCTAGAAATATATAACGGGATTTGTAGGGATATGAAAGAAAAAAAAAACCTACCTAAAACAAAGCAAGAGGTGCAATTCTAGTTTTAGATTCATGTTTTTATAATTTTTAATAAATACCTCAGAAATTTATTTTTTTAATTACCTGCCCCTTAACTGCCACTTCTTTGATCTTTTAAGCATATAACTGGAATAAAAAGAGTAAAAAGCTTGAATTTTTTTTTTTCTTGTGTAATTTTGAAAGAGTTATTTCCCAGTGAGAGGAATTTTCACTTTGATATGGTCAGGATGATGTAATTTGGGTTCCCAGGACCTTGGGGCCTTGGACATAGACCATATTTGTCCACCTCGGTGGAGCAGTATTGTCTTTACACAATTACTCTCCAAAATACACCATATATTCACATATGTTAAAAAATGACAACATGCAGAGTTCTCTCACTATATGTTCTAATGCTAAGTAAAAGATCTCCAAGTCTACAGATCCACACAGGACTGTGGGAAAGCAGTATGTAAGAATGGCAAGAAATGAAGCAGTTTATCTATTTGGACCTAACTGTTTACACAAATCGTTTTGTTGGAAGTCCAGTGTGGCCTTTTGATCTGTGTTAACTAGACCTTAAACTTGGGAGACCAGATCCATCTCCCTCACTCAGTAACTACACTATGAATTCATGGGCACTATGTTTTTACCTGCAAGTAGCATAGAGGGAAAGTTACACCTTACTGTAGCATCTGTGTGTTGACTTCTAATTCCATGACATTATCCAGCTCAGGATTTGCCAATATCATTGTTAATGTACAATCTACAGTGGATAGAATATTAACCCATTTAGCATCACGGCGTCTATTCGCACACCCTTGAATTTATTGTACCCAGAGATTTCCTAGTGAAGTGCGACAACCAATAACTAACGAGCACTGAGGGTAAAGGGGCATCTTTTCGTGGGAGAACTAGAGGGAAGTTGCAGCCCTGCAGAGAAAGGTTTCTTCTCTGACCTGTCCACTGTGTACTCAGACGGTGAAGAGGCCCAAGGGCATGGGGCTAGGTCACTTGGCAGGATGACTTCTGTGAGTGAGTCACTGACTTAGCTCATGTTGTCCAGCCTATCTTATGACATACTTTCCCAGTCTATCTGCAGAAAAGGATGCTAAATCATTAACATCCTGAGTTATTTTTCTTCCTTTCATTAGTCCCCATCATCCATGTGTCCTGGAACACAATCTGATAAAAGACAAGTTATG